CGCGTCCGCCCTGAGCGGCGTCCCCAGCGAGCGCTTCAGGCGGTCGTTCGCGTCGATCACCGGGATCGCGCGGTCGCGCGCGATGCGCCACAGGACGAGGTCGTTCAGCACGGACTCGCACACGACCGCGGTCGCGCCCGCGATCGCGAGCGAGACGGCGCCGCGCGCGAGGGATCCGATGCCCGCGCCGCCGCCGCCCGCGCCGCCGCCCGCGCCGCCGCCCGAGGACGAGGACGCCGTCTCGGCGCTCGCGGCGCGGGCGGCACGCGCGGGAGGCGGCGGCGCGGGTTCGGCTCGCGACGACCGGGGCGAGGATCCGGAGGGTGACGCGACCCCTGGGGGGCTTCTCTTTCAATAGGTTTGAGGTGTTTTGGTGTTCCGGCCGTTGTTCGTTGCTGACATCATTTCCGCCGTCGCCGCGGGGGCGCGAGCGGAGCGGAGCGGAGCGGAGGTCGTCATGCGCCCTCCCGGCGGAGGCGCGCCCTCCCCCGACGGCGCCGCGCCCGCGCCCGCGCCCGCCCCCGGGGGCGGCTGGGTCTACGACGCGAGCACGGGATACTACCACAACCCCGTCACGGGCACGTACTTCGATCAGCAGCGCGGCGCGTACTCGCACGACGGGCGATGGCTCTCGCACGCGGAGTTCACCGCGATGACCGCGGGCGCGAGCGCGTCGAGGCACCTCGCGCACCCGTCGCTGTCGAGAGGAGGAGGCGTCGGCGACGCGCGCGGCGGCGGCGGCGGCGGCGGCGGCGCGGGGGGAAGGTCGCCGGCGAATCCGACCGACGCGGCGAGCGCGACCGCGAGAGCGAGCGCGACCGCGGCGTCCGGCGCGCGATGGGGCGGCGACGTCTACTCCGCGTACCAGCCCGCGGACGTCGCCGCGACCGCGACCGCGACCGCGGCGGCGACCGCGCCGTCGCCGACGCCGTCGCGCGCGGTCGCGGCCGCGTCGGCGGGCGCGTCGGCGGCCGCGCCGTCGCCCTCGAACGCGATCTCGCCGACGGCGTTGCACAAGGCGTCCGAACGCGGCGACGTCGCCGCCGTCCGCGAGCGCCTCCTCGCGGGCGACGACCCGGACGCCCCGGGCCCGCGCGGGAACCGGCCCCTGCACTACGCCGCCTACGAGGGCCACCTGAAGGTGGTCGAGCTTCTCCTCGCCGACGGCGGCGGCGGCGCCGACGCGCGCGCGCGCAACGACGTCGGCGTCGCGCCGCTGCACAACGCGACGTCGCGCGGCCACGCCGACTGCGTCGACGTGCGTTCTCCTCACACTGGTCCCCATACGGCCCCGTCGGCGCGGTGAACGCCGTTTCTTAAGGACGGACTTTCTCTCCCGGCATGGCGTTCGTCACTCTCCGCCCGCCCCTCGACCCTTTCAATCCCGACGCGCCTCGACGCCTCGCGACTCCGCTTCTGACGCCTCACGATTCCACCCCGACGTTCGTCGCTTCGCGCGGAACCGCCCCAAGTCGCTTCTGCGCGCGGGCGCGGACGCGAACGCGACGGACGTGGACGGCCGCGCGCCGCTGCACGACGCGCCGGAGCGCGCGAGCATGGACGCGTTGCTGCGCGCGGGCGGCGACCCGAACGCGCGCGCGAGGGACGGGACGACGCCGTTGCACGCCGCCGCCGCGCGGGGCGACGGGCGCGCGGTGGAGGCGCTGCTGGGGCTCGGCGCGAGCCCACGCGCGCGAGACGTAACGCTCGGGAACACGCCGTTACACGTCACGTCGGACTGGCGGTGCGCGCGCGCGCTGTGCGCGGGCGGGGCGGACGTGGAGGCGATTCGAGATTCGGACGGGCTGGCGCCGTTGCACGCGGCGGCGGCGGAGGGACGCGCGGAGGTCGTGTCGACGTTGATCGCTCACGGCGCGAAGGTGCGGGCGCGGTGCGGCGGGGGGGTGATCGAGCGCGGGAAGACGGCGTGCGAGATCGCGAGGGAGAGGCGGCACATGGAGGTGGTGCGGTTGCTCGAGGAAGCGGGCGGCGGGAGCGGGGGAGGGGGCGGCGGCGGCGGGGGAGGGGCAGGGGGCGGCTCCGCGGGCGCCTCAGGCGCGTTCTATACACTGGTCCCCATACGACCGCGTTGGCGTGGTGAACGCCGTTCCTTAAGGACTTTTGCCGTCGTTTCTCTCAACCCACCCCCCGCTTTCAATCCCCGCCCGCGACGCCTTTCAATTCCCACTGACGCCTTTCAACTCCACCCCGACGTTCGCTTGTATGGAACGACCCTCAGCGGCGAACGTGTTCAGGAAACGGCCCACCGCGGGCGCGGCGGCGGCGGCGTCGGCGTCGCCCGCGGCGTACCAGCAACAGCCGATGGCGCAGCATCCGCATCACGCGGCGGCGGCGATGGCGGCCAACCCTATGCCCGCGTATCCGTCCGGCGGCGGGGGCGGGCACGGCGGCGGGTACGACCGCGGCGGCGGCGGCGGCGGCGGCGGCGGGAGGTCGACGAAATCGAAATCCTCCTCCTCCTCCCTCGCGTTCACGATCTGCGGCGGGCTCTTACTCCTCGTCGCGCTCGTCGCCGGGTTCGGATGGTTCAGCGTCCAGAGCGAACTCAACGAGTGGCGCGCGCTGAGGGAGAAGAAGGCGGCGAAGCGCGCCGCCGCGGACGCCGCCGCGGCGGCGAAAAAAACCGTCGAGGAGGAAAACCGCCGCCGACGCGCGGAGGCGTCCGACGCGGAAGTGGCGCGCGTGCTGTCGTGCCCCGCGGTCGTCACCGAGGAAGCGACGCGCCTGGCCGCGGAGGCGAAATCGCGAGGGGAGCCTCGGCCGAGGAAGGATCACAGCGCGCTGCACCGGTGCGTGCTCAACCTCGGCGGCGGATCCGGCGGCGGCGGCGGATCCGGATCCGAATCCGGAACTGGATCCGGGCGTCCGTGCGAAGTCTGCGTCGACTTCCTCTCCCCGCTCGCGGACGCGCTCAAGGTGGATCTCGCGGGCGCGGGGAAGAACAAAGACCAGATCGCGGACCGGGCGCTGGGGACCGGCTGCGCGGCCGCGGAGGAGCGAGGAAACGCGCGGCACTCGAAGCTCTGCGATTCGCTCCTGGCGTCGCGGCGCGAGGTGACGCGACCGCTGGCGCTTGGCGTTCCGGTGCAGAAAATCTGCGAGCGCGCGTCCGCGAGAGACCCTCTCGTGTGCGAACTTCGGTTCGCGAAGGAAGGGACGGTCGGGGACGACGGCGAGAGCGACGCCGCGGCGGGGGACGCGTTCAAGCGGTTGAGTCTGTTGGTGCATCCGGACAAGCACGAGGGGAAAAATTCTGGAAAGGCGGCGAGCGCGTTTCGGATGCTGAAAACCGCGCGCGATCACTTCGATAAGATCGCGAAGAAAGCCGCGGAGAAGCGCGCGAAGGAGGAAGGGCGATGACGTCGTCGATTCGGTTCGGTTCGCGCGTTACTTTTTAATGGATGGACGACCGCGCGCGTCGTGATGTGATATCGCCGTGTCAACGCGAACGCGTCGCCGTCGCTACGTGTACTCGACAAAGAAACGGATGATTGTTATTAAAAACCGTCGCCGTCCTCGTCCCCGTCGTCACTTCCCCCCTTCCTTCGCCTTGAGCGTCTCGTAGATGAGCATCCGCCACAGCTTGATCACGAACGGCTCCGCCTCCGTGTCCAACACGGGCTCGAGCTCGTCCACCATCGCGGCCGCGCCGAGATGCTCCCCCGCTTTCTCGACGACGAACTCGACGAGGCTCGGCTCCTCCTCCCCGAGGAGCTCGGCGACTTTTTTATTCACCCACCGCTGCACGCTGTCGCTCAGCTTCGCGGCGTCGTACGTCGCCCAGTCGATCTCGTACGCGAATATGTCCGCCTTGGACGTCGGTATGGACTCGATCAGGCTCTTCGTCTTCGCAGCGGGCGCGGACTTGGACTTATTCGCCGCCGCCGCCGCAGCCGCGAGCGCGGAGACGCGCTTCAGCGAACGTCGGGGTGGAGTTCAAAGGCGTCAGATGGAGTTGAAAGGCGCCGTGGGCGGGTATTGAAACCGTGGGGTGGGCGGAGAGAGACGACGGCAAAAGTCCTTAAGGATCGGCGTTCACCACACCAACGGGGTCGTATGGGAACCAGTGTATAGAACGCACCTTCGCGGCGTTGGCGGCGGCCACCGCGGGGTCGTCCTCGTCGTCCTCCGCCATCGTGCTCGCGGGCTTGGCCGCCGCCGCGAGCTCCTCCGCGGTGTATTCGATCTTCACGAGCGCGCGCGCGGGCGCGGCGTCGCGGTCGTCGTCGTCGCCGAACAGAGACGATTTCACCGCCGCGAGCGGCGGTTTCTTCGTCTTTTTGCTCTTCTTCGCGAAGAGCAATTTTTGCTCCTCTGCGGCCGCCGCCGCCGCCGCCGCCGCCGCCGCCGCCGCCGCCGCCGCCGCCGCCGCCGCGGCTCTCTCCTCCGCCGTGACTCTCTCCTCCTCCGCCCTCGCCGTCGCCTCCTCCTCCTTCCTCTTCGCCTCCGCGGCTGCCTCCTCTTCCTTCCTCCTCGCCTCCGCCGCCTCCGCCGCCGCGTCCTCCGCGTCGGCGTCCATCTCCCGCCGCCGGTACCGCCGCCGCCGCTCCCTCGCGCGCTCGTCGCGGATCCACGCGGGCGGGCCCATCGCGCGGAGCCGCTCGAGCGCGCCGCCGGGGGGCGCGTCCGGCGCGGTCGCGACCGCGCACTCCGCCTCGACCTCCTCCGGCTCCGGCCTGAGATCCGCCTCGAGCGCGGCGTCGCGGTCGCGCTCCGCGTCCCTCTTCTTATCCGCGCGGCGACGCCTCGCGCGCTCGCGCTCCGTCTCTTCGCGCTCCCAGCGATGCAGACGGTCGCGGTACGCGCGGTCCGCGCGCGCGCGCTCCTCGCGCTCCGATCGCTCCTTCTCGCGGAGGGCGTGCGCCCTGCGGTCTTCCTCGCGTTTGCGTTTCTTTTCGTCCCTCGCGGCGCGCGTCGCTTCGTCGCTGCCGCCGCGCGGCTCGAACCCTGGAGGCGGCGGGGGGAGGGCCGACGCGGACGCGGACGCGGACGCGTCGTTCGTCCCCCCCCCGCCGCCGGGGGTAATCTTCCCCGTCGCCGACGGGGGGAGCCTCGACGCGGGATCCTTCGCGGGGACGAACCCGGGCGGCGGCGGCGGCGGCGGCGCCGCCGCCGCGCCGTCGCCGAGAGACGACAAAAACGCATCCGCCTCGCTCGGCGCGGTCGCGGTCGCGTTCGCCTCTCCTCCTCCTCCTCCGCCCCCGCCCCCGCCCCCGTCGACGCTCCCGCTCCCCGGCGCGCGCTTCAGCTCCGCGCCGCCGCCGCCGCCGCCCTCCTTCGGCAGCCCCTCGCTCAGCACCTCCGCGAGGCGCGCGCGCCGCGCGGCGTCGTCCGCGGCGTCCGCCTCCGGGTCGACGTTCCATACAAAGCGATGGCGGGGTGGAGTTGAAAGGCGTCAGATGGAGTTGAAAGGCGTCGAGGGCGGGGATTGAAAACGAGGGGTGGGCGGAGAGACACGCCGGGCAAAGTCCTTAAGGATCGGCGTTCACCACGCGAACGGGGTCGTATGGGGACCAGTGTATAGAACGCACCTCCGGGTCGACGTTTCTCTTCGCGGCGTACGGCTCCAGGTGCGCCTTGGTCGCCTGGTTCACGTTCAGCAGCAGCTCCTCGCTCTTCACCGGGAACCCGTCGAGGACGCGCATCGCGCGGAGGACGCCCTCCGCGTCCTCGAACTCGCAGAACCCGAACCGCTTCGGCTGGCCGCTCTCCGGGTCCATGACGCGCTTCCACGACTTGATCGCGCCGCAGACCTCGAGGAGTCGTCGGACGAGATCGTCGCCGACGCCCGCCGGAATCTTGCCGACGTACACGGTCGTTCGCTTCTCGCTCGACGGCGGCGCCTGGCCGGCGGGTTGGAAGATCGGCGGCGGCGGCGCGCCGTACGGCGCCGGTTTCAGGTGAGGATGCATCCCGGGGGCGGATCCGCCCATCATCGCCATCGGAGGCGGTGGGCCGGGGCCCATCGCCATCGGCGGCGGCGCGAACGCGCCGGGCGGGCCCGGGGGGAACCCGGGGCCCGCGGGCGCGTACGGGCGAAGCATCGGCGCTCCCGGCGGGGGTACGCCGCCGCCGCCGGGGGGCGGGTACATCGCGCCGTGAGGTCCCGAGAAGTGACGGCCAATGCACGGAGGACGACGACTGAAGAAAACGAGCGCGCGCGCGACGACGAAATCGGCCACGACAGCGACAGGACCTTGAAAGAGCGCGGTGACGTCGCCTCTTCTCTCATCACTTCCCGTCCACGCCGCGGACGACATCATGGCGGCGATCATGCGCGCTCTCGAGCGCGCGAGCGGCCTCCGCGGCCTCCGCGCCTCCATCGCGCCGATCGCGTCCAGAGGCATGGCCGTGGACGTCGCCGCGGACCGCGTCCACGGCGGGCTGAAGGACGAAGATCGCATCTTCACGAACCTCTACGGCAAGCACGATCCGTTCCTCAAGGGCGCGATGAAGCGCGGGGACTGGTACAACACGAAGGACCTCATGCTCATGGGGCCGGACTGGATCGTGAACGAGATCAAGGCGTCGGGGTTGCGAGGACGCGGCGGCGCCGGGTTCCCGTCCGGGCTCAAGTGGTCGTTCATGCCCAAGGCGCGCGCCCCCTCCCAGCTCGCGTCTCTTCGGCTAACCCTAGTTTCTCACGTCGTCCGCCTCGCGGTCTCGCGCGTCGCCCCGCGCGAGATCGCGCCCCTCACGCGATCGACCCCCCCCCCCCCCGATCCCGCGCCCTCGCCTCTCCTCCTCCGCGCGACCCTCACCTGACCCCCCCGCGCCCTACCCGCGTCCCCCCCCACCGCGCCGAACCCGACAGGTCTCCGACGGCCGTCCGTCGTACCTCGTGATCAACGCGGACGAGTCCGAACCCGGGACGTGCAAAGACCGCGAGATCATGCGTCACGACCCGCACAAACTCCTGGAAGGCTGCCTCATCGCCGGCACCGCCATGCGCGCGCGCGCGTGCTACATCTACATCCGCGGCGAGTACGTCAACGAGCGCCTCAACCTCGAGCGCGCGAGGGACGAGGCCTACGCGGCGGGCTACCTCGGAAAGAACGCGTGCGGCTCGGGGATCGACTTCGACATTAACATTCACTACGGCGCGGGCGCGTACATCTGCGGCGAGGAGACCGCGCTCATCGAGTCCCTGGAAGGGAAGCAAGGGAAGCCGAGGCTCAAGCCGCCGTTCCCGGCCGGGGTGGGGCTGTACGGATGCCCGACGACGGTGACGAACGTGGAGACGGTGGCGGTGGCGCCGACCATCTTGCGCCGCGGCGCGGAATGGTTCTCATCCTTCGGGCGCAAGAACAACGCCGGCACGAAGCTGTTCTGCATCTCCGGGCACGTGAACAAGCCGTGCACGGTCGAGGAGGAGATGAGCATTCCGCTGAAGGAGCTCATCGAGAAGCACTGCGGCGGCGTGCGAGGCGGGTGGGATAACCTACTCGCGATCATCCCGGGGGGGTCCTCCGTGCCGCTCATCCCGAAAAAGATTTGCGAGGAGGTGAGACTGCTTCCCATACGACCCCGTTCGCGTGGTGCACGCCGTTCCTTAAGGACTTTTCCCGTCGTCACTCTTCACCCGCGCTTCCCTTTCAACGTTTGACCGGTAAGACGTTCGACTGACCGATCGCTTCACCCACGCAGGTGCTCATGGATTTCGACTCGTTGAAATCCGCGCAGAGCGGGCTGGGGACCGCCGCGGTGATCGTGATGGACAAGTCCACGGACGTCGTCGACGCGATCGCGCGGTTGTCGTACTTTTACAAGCACGAGTCGTGCGGGCAGTGCACGCCGTGCCGCGAGGGCACCGGGTGGCTCTACAACGTCATGGAACGCATGAAGAAGGGGGACGCGCGACTGGAGGAGATCGACATGCTTCAGGAGCTCACGAAGCAGATCGAGGGGCACACGATCTGCGCGTTGGGCGACGCCGCGGCGTGGCCGGTGCAAGGGTTGATTCGGCACTTCAGGCCGGAGCTCGAGGCGAGGATCAACGCGCAGCCGAGCGCCGAACAGATCGCGGCGTGAGGCGCGCGTCGGCGGCGGGCGGTTCGAATTCAAACGCCGCCGTCGACGCGCCCGCGTCGCTGTACCTTCTTGTAACTACTTGAAACGACATCTCTTCTTTGCCATCAAACAAAAATACACATGTGATGCTATACGACGCGCTCTCCTCTCGCCCTCGTCCCACGGCGCGGCGTTCGCTCGCGACCACCGCAGCGCGTCCACCCGAGGCGGCGACTCGTTCTCCTCCTCTCCGAATGAATTCTGCCGCGAAGAGAGCGATTGTGTGGGAGGCGAGCGTTCGTCAGGACGCGCGCGGGGCGGCGAGACGAGACGGACGCGAGCGCGGGCGAGCGAACGCGCCGAATACGCGAAGTGAGACTGTTTCCCAGCCCGAGCCTTTGCGCGCCCGCGCGGCGGCGTCCGTCCTCGAAAGGGCCGCGGGGCTCGCGTTTTACGGAGGCTCGAACGCGAGGGATCGCGGGGCGGGCGACGGCAGTGAGCGCGCCAGAACGGCGTCGCTCGGCGCCGCGCCCGGGTCCCGCCGCTGAGTCTACCAGGAATGTAACGGCGTTTCGGGCATCGAGAGTTGGCCCGAGCACCTGACATACTCCTGGAACGCGCGACGCGGGCGGGGTCGTTCGCGGCGAGCCGAGAAGGGAACGATCTATCCCCCCGCCCCGCGTCGGCGAGGGCGTGGACGACGTACCAGCGCGCGTCTTCCTTCATCGCGAGCGCATCACCGCGCCGCGGAGACGAGATCGACGCCGCGACGCCGCGCTCTCGATCGTCGTCTCCGCGAGGCGAGACGCGTCCGTCTCGCGTCACCACGCGTCACCGCTCACTTCTTCGCGTGGAACGCCTCGATCTTCTTCCGCGTCTCCCAGTGCCACATCTTCCAAGCCCCGCCGGCGAGGAGACCGAGTCCCATGCCGATGGCAGCCTCCGTGGCGACGTAAATCTTTTGCGCGTTTCCGTAGTACGTGACCGCACCCATGGCGACCGTTTGCGGAGGTGCGTGCGTGTGTGACGACGCCGAGGACGAGCGGATCGCTTAGGGCTAAATTCGTGGCGAGTCGAACGAACAGAAGCAGAAAGGATCGAATCTTGACCGTGTTTACAATGATAGACAACCGACGCACGCGAGGCTACATGACGACACACCCGCCACCCTTCTCCTTCTTCTTCGGCGGCGGCGGCGCCGCGTCCGCCGCGTCGTCCGAGTCCGAGACTCCGTGCTCGCCGTCGGAGTTGATCTCCTGGTCCGAGTCGATCGCCGCCTCGCCGCCGCCGCCGCCGCCGCCGCCGCCGCCGCCGTCGTCGTCGTCGAACTCTTCTCGGGCCCTCGCGACGCTCCGACGAAGCTTCGTCGGATTCGCCGCCCCGTCCACGACGGGCTCGATCTCGTCCTCCACGCTCGGGGACCAGCAGTGTAAGCCGCGGTCGTAGAAGCTGCACGACACGATCACGGACGTCTTCGTCGCCTCCCCGGCTCGGTGGAACGTGCCTCCGGGGGACTTCAAGAGTTCGTTCGAGGGGATCCCGCGGGAGGAATCCAAATCCGACGAGCCGTCGTCGTCGTCGTCGTCGTCGTCGTCGTCGTCGTCGTCGTCGCCGTCGCCGTCGTCGCCGCGCCACCCCCAGTCCGCGCCGTACGCGATGCTCCCGTGCGCCTCGTACGACGGCTCTTTGTCGACGCTCCCGAACGATATCTCGTACTCGAGCGACGCCTCCCCCGCCGCCTCGTCGACTTTCCGCTCGACGCGTTCGCGTCCGGTCCACTCGACGATCGCGACGCCGCCGCCCATCGCCGCGGCCGCGAGCTTCCGCTGCGACGGGTGCCACCGCAGCCGCCACGCGCCGCCGCCGACGTTCACGTGGCCAATCTCGAGCGCCTTCGACGCGTTGCGAACGTCCCACAGACGGACGACGTCGTCGTAGGAACCGGTGGCGACGACGTGGCAGTCGTGCGGCGACGGCGCGACGCACGTCACGCCCGCGCCGTGCGTCTTCTTGTTCGAGAACAACGGCGCGGATTTCTCCCCGAAGTTCGCGCGGACGTCCCACGCTTTAAACGCGGCGTCGTCGCCGCCGGTGAAGATGACTTGGCCGGGGCGCGCGAGCGCCATCGCGGGCGACGCGAACGCGACGGCCCACGCCTCGAGATCGTGCGCCTTCTCTCGCGTCGCCGCGACTTCCAACGCGCCGTCCTCGCGGACCGCGATCGTTCGCAGGCTGCCGTCGGCGGCGACGACCGCGAGCGCGGGGTTCTCGCTCGTGCTCGTGCTCGACGCCGCGGCGTCCTGGCTGCCGTCGCCGGGGTTCCAGTCCACGCACGTCGTCATCCCTAACCCGCCGCCGCCGCAGCGCACTTTTGAAATTTCCCTCGCCGCGACGCCGCGATACGGCAGCGAGTACTTCGGAAAGTCGCGCGCGTGGTCCGCGTCGATCTGGTACAGCGTCAGGTACCCACCCGCGTCCGCGACCGCGAGCTTCGGGCCTTTCTCCGTGTTATACCGCGCGGGCGCCCATCGCGTTTCGAATATCGCGCGCGTCTCGAGCGGCGCCGCCGCGGGGACGAGTGCCCACCCTTCCGTCCAACGCTCCTGTTGATTTGATTTGATGGGGTGACGCGTGGCGGGGTACGATTCGTCAGCACGTGACGAGATTCGATGCCGTGGCAGATCGTGTGGTGGGTGACGGACGACAGACGCGGAGATGCGCACGCCACGGTCGAAGGACGGACGCACCCACGGCTTCTCCGCCGCCTCGATCGCGTTCATCGCCGCCTTTCCCGCGTCGATCGTCGCCTCGTCCGCTCTCTCCTTTCCTTCCCCCGCCTCGCCGTCGCCGCCGCGGGAGTCGTCGCGCGCCTCCTCCTCCTCGTCGTCGCGCTTCGACGCCGTCGGCGCGAGGTTGTACAAGTACAGCTGTCCGCGGCGTTTCTCTCGCGTCGGCTGCTTCTTGTTCAGGTTGTACAGGTACAGCTGTCCGACCCTGGACTCCATGCCGCCGCCGCCGTCCGCGTCGTCGTCGTCGCCGGGGACGTGGAGATACGACGCGACCGCGACGAGGCGCTTGTACGCCGCGTGCGGGCAGCACTCGACGCCGCACGCGTTCATGCCGAGCTGCACCTTCTCGTGCGTCACGTGATGCCTCGCGGGCGGCGCGGGGTTTCGCCTCGGAGGCGTCGGCGTGGCCGCGGACGTGAGCGACGACGAACCGTCGTCGTCGTCGTCGTCGTCGTCCTTCGCGACCGCGCTCGCCATCGCTCCTTATTCGTTCGACGCCGCGAGGGCCAGCCTGCCGAGACTACTCGCTTCGCGCCGCCGCCGCCGCCGCCGCCTTCCGCCTTCTCTCTCGCGCCCGCCGCGATCCTTCTTCTTAGACTACTTGGCGAGCGCGCCTTGGACGAGATCGCACACGTACGGCGCGACGCGGATCGCGGCGAGCCACGCGCCGAGGATCACGATGTTGCGCTTCAGCTCGGCGTCCATTGCGTTAGGGTGAGTGCGTGCGTGTGAGGTGGCGATGCGAGGAGCGGTGTGAGGAGCCCCGAGGGATCTCGGCGCGCGGCGTGATGGATGAAAAACAGACGAATGATGACTCCCAACTTCGAGGTTTGAGCTCGTGAAGAAGAAGAAAAGAACGGACCGATCACACTCCGCGCGCGCACGATGGCCGGCTCCGATAACCCTTTCGCGAACGCGGACGCGTGGCGCAAGCACCCGCTCCTGACCGGGACGTGGCGCGCCGCCGCGCCCGGCTTCTTCCTCGGCCTCGCCGCGTTCGGGTGTTACTACGCGTTCGACAAGGCCACCGCGAAGAAGCAGGCGAAACACTAGGCGCGCCATCGCGTCGTCGCGCGAGGCGGGCGATCGGATCGCGCGCGGGCTCGGCGCGGGGTTTAGGGGTTGAAGGGCACACTAGCGGCGATAGAGGAGGCGGCGCGGCGACGAGAGAGAGAAGCTCGCGGCGAGGATAGGATGCGCGAGGGCGCGACGACGACGACGGACGACGAAGGGGGAGGACGCGCGCGTAGGGTTTCCGACGACGAGGCGTCGCGGTCGATCGCGACGCCGCGGCGGAAGCGCGCGAAGACGGACGCGCGAAGCGAAGACGACCGCGGGGAGGAGGAGGACGAGGAAGACTCCGACGACGCCGTCGTGCACGTCATGGGCGGCGTCGGGAGGATCACCGCGAAGACGATGCTCGACTCGAGCGACGCGTGGCGGGCGCGAGATTGGAACGCGCTTCGCGCGACGTTCGATCGCGACGGGTACCTCCTGATCCGAGGGATGCTCCCGCGCGAGGACGTCCTCGCGGCGCGCGCGGCGGCGCTTCGAGCGCTCGCGGAGGAGCGCCCGGAGTGCTTCGCGACGGATGATGAGGAAGAGGAGGAGGAGGAGGGCGACGCCAGCTGGCGCGACGGCGGCGGCGGCGTCCTTCGCGAGGGCGCCGCCGACCTCGGTCTCCTCTCGCGGCAGCACGTCGCGGCGCTCCCCGCCATCCGCGCGGTGACGGAGTCCGACGCCCTCTTCGACCTCGCGGAGGGCGTGCTCCAGTGCGAACGCGTCATGACGACGGCGTACAAGTGGCTGCGCGCGGTCGCCGGCGGCGAGTTCACGGGCGTGCACACGGACAAGGTGTTCCTCGGGCGCGGGACGTCGAGGTTGATCACGACGTGGATTCCGTTCGGCGCGGTGAAGACGGAGGACGGCGCGCTGTTAGTCGCCGCGGGGTCGCACGTCTCGAGCGACTTCGAGCGCGTCCGCGAGACGTACGGGACGTCCACCGTCGGCGGCGACGGCACCGTCAGCGGCTGGCTCACGAACGACGCGTCCGAGGTGCCGCGGATCCTGACGCGACGCGATCGCGGCGACGGCGGCGACGGAGAGGGGACGCCCCCGCCGCCGCCCGTCGTGGACTGGCGCACGACGGACTTCGAGCCGGGGGACGTGTGCGCGCTCGGGATCGAGACGACGCACATGTCCGCGGCGAACGTGTCGAACGTGCGAGGGAGCGGGCGCGCGCGCGTCCGCGTCAGTTGCGACGCGCGGTGGCAGCCCATCGGAGAAGCGTTCCCGCGAGACCCGCGCGTGCGCGATTGGCGCGGACGGGGTGGGGTTGCCGTCGACGAGTAGGTTGGGGGCTGGGCGGTTTTTTAACATCACGCTCCGCTACGCGTACGCTCGCGCCCACCCCGAGGCTTCCTCTTCTTCTCCTTCTTCTTCGTCTGTGCGAATCTTTCTCTACAGTATCTGTTGTTTTATACAGCACGTCTCGACGTTCCGACTCGCGTCGCTCGCGGTTTACCTTCACGACAGCACCCATCGAGGGTCCATCTCTCCGCTGCGGATAAAGCTCGTCGATCGGCGCACGCGGAACTCGCCCTCGCTTCCTCGCCGGGCCGGGTCGTTCGACGGCGTCGTCGGCGAGAGCGGCTCGCACGCGACGTCCAAGCTCTTGCGGCGCTCTGACGTCCTCTCCTCGCGCAGCGCGCCGCTCATCGCGCCGTACTCGCACGACCCGGACTTGAGCCCGCGCGAGATGCTCCTCGCCTCGTCGCAGTCTCGCCTCAGGGAGGGTTCGAGACCGAAGTTCGCGAAGAACTCGCGCGCGCTTCCGAACTGCTCGCGGATCTCGCGCGCGCTCAGGCCGTCCGGGTGCGTCAGCGCGCTCGCGGCGAGCGCCTCGATCGGTTCCCCGTGCGCGTTCATTCCGGGCGGCGGCGGCGGCGGGACGCGGGGCGGGTCGTTGTTGTTTTCTCGCGGGATGGCGGGGCTTTTTTTTATCCTTTCGGTTGTTGTTGTTCGCTCTCGTCGAGAATCGACCCGTTTGAGCGCGGCCGGTCAAAGCGTGGGTCGGATTCGACGCGCAGAAGTCCCCGCGCGCGGACGCACACGGCAGCCATGGTGCGTCCTCTGCCTCGAATTCTCCTTCCGTAGACCCCTCGTCGACGATATCGCGGGCGAACGCGACGGCGCGGCGCTCGCGTCGACCCCGCGCGCGCGTTTTCCGGCGTCGACCGAATTGGGTCTCTTCGCGGCGTCTCTCGCTCGACCGTCGTTCGCGGTTCGAAAACGGATGGATGGCTGGACGACGCGACCTCCACGCTGACCCCCCTCGCCCCAACTTCCCGTCCTCCCAGGCGCCGTACAAGTCGCTCGCGCAGATCCAGGCCCAGCGCGAGACCAAGCGCCGGGTCTACGAAGACCGAACCGCGGCGCTTCAGTCGTGCGTCCCCGCCCGTGTTCGCCGCGCGTCGACCCACCGAATTAATACTAATTGTATCTCTCTCGCTTGGATCCCCTCCTGACCCCCGCATCGCCCGCCCTCCTTGTCCCACCCCCTCACCCCCCGCAGCCGCCTCGACGACCAGATCCGGTACGCGAACGCCGCGGCGTCGTTCGACAAGACGGACGGCATCCGACGCGAGCGCGAGGCGCGCGAGCGCGCCGCGGAGGAGGCGCAGCTCGAGGCGCTCTACCAGGCGCACAAAGCGAGGGAGCTCAAGGCGAAGTGGGCGGCGGAGGAAGAAGCGATCGTGGACGCGATCGAGACGAAGAAGAAGGAGGCGTCGAAGCGCGCGCTCATGGTGCAAAAGGTGAGCAACGAGTCCGCGGAGCTGCGCGCGCTGAAGGAGAAGCTTCGCGCGGCGGAGGTGAGCTTCGAACGGAAGCTTCAGATGGAAGAGAAGGAGATGATCGCCGAGGCGGACAGAGAGTACGACGTCGCCGTGGACGTGATGATGGAGCGCGATCGCGTCAAGGCGGTGTTCGCGGAGGAACAAGCGGCGAACGCGGCGAGGTCGCGACGCGCGAAGAGCCGGCTCGTGCTCGAGGAGCAGATCGCGGAGAAGGTGGCGATGCAGGAGGAGGCGAGAGAGGCGTTTTTGGCCGAGCGCGACGCCGTGGACGCGGTCGCCGCGAAGATTCGCGCGGAGGACGAGGCGGAGGCGAGGCGGAAGCAGCAGAAGGTGGTGGACACCAGGGCGTTCATCACCGAGTTTCTCGCGATGCGCGAAGACCTGCGCGAGAAGGAGCGCGAGCGGCTGCGCGCGGAGGAGGAAAAGATCGCCGCGTTCGCCGCCGAGATCATCAAAAGGCAAGAAGAAGCGGAGGCGCTCAAGGCGGGGAAGCGCGAGGAGGCGGACCGCGTCCTCGCCAAGCTCAGCGCGGACAAGGAGGAGAACGACCGCAAGCGCGACGAGATGGAGGAGCTCATCAACCGTCTGTACTTCGAGGAGCAAGAGGAGAAGCACCGCGCCGCGATGGCGGCCAAGGCTGAATCGGCGGAGGCGGCTAAGCGGGAGATGATGCGAGCGAACGAGGAGCAGCTCGCGATCAAGCGGCGCATGCGCGAGGAGGAGGCGGCGGAGGAGGAGATGTTCCGAAGGAAGATGTTCGAGAAGTTCGCGGAGGAGGATCGCGTGGAACAGATGCACGCGACGAAGCGCCGAATGAAGATGCAAGAGCACAAGCGCGAGGTTGAACGCCTCGCGGCGGTGAAGAAGGCGATGTACGAGCTGCAGATCGAGAGAGAGCTCGAGGAGCAGCGAGGCAGAGAGAGCGCGGAGGCGGCGGAGGCGGCGATGGTGGAGGAGGAACGCCAGCGGCTGCTGCGCGACCACGCCGCGCGTCTGAAGGATTATCTTCCGAAGGGCGTCGTCGCGAGCTCGCGAGATTTGGACTTGATCAACACCATCTCGAGTCAGATGAGCGGGATGGACCTTGGGAGCACGAGGGCGGGGACGAGAGCCGCGGGGTCGAGGGCGTTCGAGATGTAGGCGGGGCGGAGCGGAGCGAGACGGACGGACGCGAAATACGTCGTCGTCGTCGGCGGCGGCGCTCCCCTCGGGCGTCGTAACGACTTGCTATACTACGCGCGACGCGTCTAAAGCGCCATGACACTTTCGCGGCGTCCGTCCGTCTTCTATCGTCTACCTACGAAGCTGGCGCGTCTAGCTAGCTAGGTAGCGTACGGCATGACGTCCACCTTCCCGGACTGCACGTAGAACGACGGCGTGACCCACGCGCCGCAGGAGCACCGCGACCCGGACCAGTTGAAGTGCCCGACCTTCGTCTCGCACTTCGGGCAACACAGCTTCTTCTCCACAACGCTCGCGTCCTCGACGCCGCGCATCCACGCCAACGGCTCGAGGAAGATGTTTTGGCACGACGGCGACGGCGCCGCGCTCGCGCTCGCGCTCGCCCCCAACATCCCCGCTCCACCCCCCCCACCGCCGCCGCGCCGCCGCTTCCGCCAGCTGAACGCGTCGACGCCCTCCCCCGGCGCGTGCGGCGTTCGGTTGGTCCCTCGCGCCAACAGCCGCCGACACCGCCGGCATCGGATCATCGCCCCCGCCTCCGCGCCGCCGCCGTCCTTCGGGCCGACCAGCGTCGTCGCCGCGACGCCGCTGAACGGCGCCGCGGCGACGCCCGGCGGTCCCTCCGCGGCCGCGCCCGGATCCGGGCGGACGTCGGTGGCGGCGACGTAGCCGTCGTGCTCTCGCCGACGCGCCGTCTTCGCGAGCGAGTACAGCCGATACGCCTCGCTCGACGCGCTGAGCTTTCGGTCCATCGCGTTCCACAGCTCGAGCTGCGCGATGAAGCCGTCGTTGGGCGACGCGCGCGCGTGCTTCGCGCGCAGGAGCGCGAGCGCGGCGTCCGGGTCGAGATCGCGCGCGCGCATGAGGTGCGCGACGAGCGCGGCCGCGCTTCTGGACACGCCGGCGTGGCAGTGCACGAGGACGGCGCCGCCGCCGCGCAGGCCGTCGGAGATGAACGCGAGGACGTCCGGGAGCTGCGACAGCAGGTCGCCGTCGTCGTCGTCCTCGAGCTCCACCTTGAGCGTCCGCACGACCGCGTCGGCGTCGGCGTCGGCGTCGTCGTCGTCCCACGGGAAGCTCGGGGGCGGATATCCGAAGCTGACGAGATGCGTCACGCCGAGCGCGGCGTCCGCGACCGCGGCCTCGACCGCGTCCTCGGCGCCGATGAACAGGCGCGGCTCCACCTCGGTGACGTCCGGCGGCGCCATGCTCGTCGCGGCCGCGGCGAGGGCGCGCGCCGCGGCGAGACGGCGCGGGTGAATTTGACGTTTGAGAGAGCCGAAACTTTCATCGCGAGTCGACGGCCGATGAATGGCTCATCACTCCCCTCGCGCGCCGCGCGTCGCCATGGTGCGGCTCGAGGAGCTGGACGGCGACGCGCCGCCGGACCTCGAGGAGATCCCCGGCGCGGAGATCAGCGTGGAGATCAAATCCCACCCCGGACTGTGGCTCGCGTCGGAGGCGGCGCTCGACGAACCGAAGGTTGGGCTCCTGGACAAGGGCGTCACGCATCTCCTCTCGTTCGGCGCTCTGCGTCGCGCGTCGCCGACGCGCCGTCATCAAGTCTACGAGCGCGCGGAGAACGGCGCGCTCGTGACGCACCTGCGCGCGGCGTGCGATTTCGTGAGAGAAGCGATCGAGGGCGGCGGCGGCGCGCGGGGGAACGTCGCGGTCGTGAGCGAGGAGGAGGGCGAGGACGCGGCCGCGTTTCTGATCGCCGCGTTCCTCGTCGTGGAGAAGCGCGTCGAGACCGTGGACGACGCCGTCGCCGCGGTGACGTCGTCGCGGCCGAGCAGCGAGCTCGCGACGCACAAGGAGTTCGCGAAGAACTTGAAGTTCTTAGCGCGCAACGGGATCCCCGACTGGGCGTAGAAGAGAGGCACGGTAGAGGAGGACGACGTGACGTGAGTTGTTAGCCACTAAACTTATTAATCCTAGATCTAGATCGACGCCTCGTTCCACTCGCGTCCGCGCGCCGCGGCGGGGCGGTCATGACGGACCCGGAGCCGCGTCTCACGGGCGACCCGCACCCCGAGTGCTGGGACCTCATATGCGTCGGTACCGGTCTCGCGGAGGCGATGCTCGCGGGGTGCGCGCGATGGACAGATCGATCGATCCGTCAGCAGTCCTCTCGTCCTCGCGCCTCGGCACCCGGTCCCGTCGTCGACGCGGACGTCGATCCATCCGACCGACGCCCTCCCTCCCTCCCTCCTCCCTCTCTCCCTCTCCCCCTTCGCAGCGCCGCGGCGAAGGCGGGAAAGAGCGTGCTCCACCTCGACGCGTCCGACGCGTACGGCGGCGCGTGGGGCGTCCTCGCGGACGCGGCGCCGCACGGCTCGGGATGGCGCCTCCCGCGAGATCCTCCCGCGAGCGACGACGCCGAGAAGGTGGCTTCGGACGCCCCGCGCGAGAACCACGGCGAGGAGACGCCGCCTTCGACGCCGACGCCGACGCTCCCGCTCCCCGCGCGCGGCGCGCCTGTCGCATCGTCGACGTACCGCGGATTCTCCGCGCTCGACCTGAGCGCGGACGACGACGCGCTGCTCGCCGCGCTGGGCGGGACGCGTCGCCCCTACGCGCTCGATCTCGCCGCGCCCAAGCTCGTGTACTGCGCCGACGGCGTCGTCGACGCGCTCGTCGCCTCCGGCGCGCACAACTACTGCGAGTTCAAGGCGTTGGAGCGAACGAAGGTGTGGTGGGACGGCGCGCTGAGGGACGTCCCGGCGTCCAGGGCGGAGGTGTTCCGCGACCGAGGGTTGCCGCCCGGAGATAAGCGCGCGTTGATGCGTTTGCTCAAGGCGACGTGGACCGCGGCGGTCGGCGGCGGCGTCGAGGTCGGGACCGGGGACCCGGACGACGTCAACGTCGCGATGGGCGCGCCGGGGAGCGAGTGGGGGGCTGGCGGCGGCGGGGGGGGTGCCGACGTGGGCGATGGTGGGGGTGCCGAGGGCGGCGCCGCGTCCGCGTTGTACGACGGCGATGGCGACGGCGAGTCGTTCGAGGCGTGCCTCGCGGGCGCGCGGCATCGACTGTCGCCGAAGCTGACCGCGTTCGTCGCGTACGCGCTCGCGCTGTGCGACGCGCGCGACGCGACCGCGAGGGAAGGGTTCGCGCGCCTGACGCGGTACCTCGCGTCGTTGGGGCGGTTCGGGCCGGCGGCGGGCGCGCTGCTGACGCCGAATTACGGCGTGGGGGAGTTCAGTCAGGCGCGTTCTGTTCTGTTCCTCACGCCGGTCCCCGTACGACCGCGTTCGCGCGGTGCGCGCGATTCCTTGAGGACGTTTGGGTCCCTCCCGCGCGCGTTTCTCTCCGCCCAGGGACCCTCCCTCGGTTTCAACGGTCGACACACCTCGACGCCTTTCAACTCCGCTTCTGACGCGCCTTTCAACGAACGCCTCCCCGACGTCGCGTCGTATCGGAAACGACCCTCAGGCGTTTTGCCGCGTCGCCGCCGTCGCCGGCGCTACGTACGTGCTCCGCGCGCCGGTGAAGCGCGTCGTGATGGGCGTCGATCGCGACGACGGGGAGACACGCGTCGTCACCGGCGTCGTCACCGCGGGCGGGCAGCGGCTGAGGTGCAAGGCGTTCGTCGCGTCCGAAGCGGCGTGGCCGGAGGCGGCGGCGGACGAATCGAATTCGAGATCTAAGGCGTGGGCGTCGCGCGGCGTCTGGATCGTCGACGCGCCGGTCGTCGCGGACGCGCACCAAGCGCTGATCGTCTTCCCTCCCGGGACCGTGGACTCCGCGCCCGCGGCGTCCGCGGTGCGCGTGTTGCAGCTCGGCAGCGCGAGCGGGATGTGCGCGCGAGGGAAGTACGCGTTGTTCGCGTCGACGCTGTCGGAAAATACACCGTCGGACGACGGCGACGAGGGAAGCGCGGCGAGAGACCTTCGCGGCGCGCTCGAGCTCCTCGTGGACGTCGCCGGGGAGACGCGCGACGCGGGCGCGGAGGCGGCGGCGGCGGCGGCGGCGTCGACGCCGAGGCCGCGGCTCGTTTGGGGCTGCCATTACCGCCAGGCGCTCGGATTCCCTGGCGTCGACGAGAGCGCGCTTCCCGCGAACGTCGCGCTGTGTCCTACCCCGGACGCGTCGATCGACGTCGACGCCGCGGTGAACGCGGCGATCGAGGCACACCAGCGGCTGTGGGGCGACGGCGTCGGCGAGATGTTCGCGGGCGGCGGCGGCGGCGGCGGCGGCGGCGGCGACGGCGGCGGCGGCGAAGGCGCGACCGGCGGTGGCGGCGAGGGCGACGAGGACGAGTTCGACGCGCTGCTGCGGGACATCCCCGGCCAGCCGAAGACGAGCGATGGTTCGTGACGCGAGCTGCTGCGCTAGATTTGTTTTAAGTCTTTATAGTCGCGTGCGTTACAATACCGCTATGTACAGCGTGGCGCCTCGCAGCGTGAGGCCAAAAGAATCAATGTCCGCTAAGTATGATAAACACCCTCCATCTCCAACCGAACGCCAGAAGTCTCCCCTTAACCTTACTTCTTGTTCGCGCCCTTGCCCATCTTCGGGTTCTTCAAGATCCGCACGTTGAGCGGCGTCACCTCCACGAGCTCGTCGTTCGCGATGTACTCGACGCAGTCGTCCAGAGACAGCGACTTGGGCTCGTTCAAAACCACCGTCGCGTCCTTGTTCGACCGCACGTTCGTCGCCGCCTTCCGCTTCGCGACGTTCACCTTGAGATCTCCGTTCCTCTGGTGAATCCCCACGACCTGGCCTTCGTACACGTCGAGGCCGGGCTTGATGAACATGATCCCGCGCTCCTGGGACGAGAAGAGCGCGTACGACGTCGCCTGCCCAGTCTCGAACGCGACGAGCGAGCCGTTTTCGCGCATCGCGATGTCGCCGCAGTACGGGAAGTATCCGTCGAAGATAGTGTTCAACACCGCGGTGCCGCGCGTCGCGGTGAGGATCGCGTTGCGCAGGCCGAGGAGGCCGCGCGTCGGGATCTTGTACTTCATCGTCGTGATGCCCTTGTCGTTCGTGAAGAGGTCGAGCATCTCGCCCTTGCGGTTGCTCATCAGCTCGACGCACGCGCCGTTGTAATCCTCGCCAACCTCGATCGACGCCTCCTCGAACGGCTCGAGCTTCGCGCCCTTCTCGTCCTCCTTCATGATCACCTGCGGCGGGCCGATGCAAAACTCGAACCCCTCGCGGCGCATGTTTTCGATGAGAATCGTGATGTGAAGCGCGCCGCGACCGCAGACGATGAAGGTGTCCGCGGTGTCTCCGGGCTCAACCTTCAGCGCGAGGTTCCTCTCGAGCTCGCGGTCGAGCCTGTCCTTGATGTTCCTCGACGTCACGAACTTGCCCTCCTTGCCCGCGAAAGGCGACGTGTTCACGCTGAACGTCATCCGCACCGTGGGTTCCTCGACGGTGATCGTAGGAAGCGCCTCGGCGCCGCCCGCCATGATCGTCTCGCCGATCATCACGTCGGGCAAACCCGCCACCGCGCAGATGTCGCCCGCGCCAACGCTGTCCACGATCTGCTTTTGGAAGTTTTCGTAGATGAACACCTCGCCGATCTTCCCGTTCCTGTGCGGAGCGTCCGGGATGCCCAGGGAGATGTTTTGCTTGTTGCTGATGGTGCCGGCGTTGACGCGGCCGAGCGCGATGCGCCCCTTGAACTCGTCGTAGTCCAGGTTCGTCACGAGCATCTGCAGCGGCGCGTCGACGTCCACGACCGGCGCGGGGACGTTATCGATGATCATGTCGAACAGCGGCTCGAGCGTCTCAGACATCTGATCCGGCTCCGGGCCGGCGATGCCCTGAAACCCGGACGCGTAGACGATGGGAAACTCGCACTGCTCGTCGCACGCGCCGAGCGAGCAGAACAGGTCGAACGTCGTGTCCACGACCCAGTCCGGGCGCGCGCCATCGCGATCGATCTTGTTGACGACGACGCACACCTTCTTGTTCAGCGCGAGCGCCTTCTTGAGGACGAATCGCGTCTGCGGCATCGGCCCCTCTATACAAGCGAACGTCGGGGTGGAGTTGAAAGGCGTCAGTTGGCGTTGAAAGGCGCCGATGGCGGGGATTGAAAGCGAGGTGTGGGCGGAGAGAGACGCCGGGCAAAGTCCTTAAGGAATGGCGTTCACCACGCGAACGCGGTCGTATGGGGACCAGTGTATAGAACGCACCTTGCGCGTCGACGAGGAGAAGGACGCCGTCCACCATGTTCAGGACGCGCTCCACCTCGCCGCCAAAGTCCGCGTGACCTGGGGTGTCGATGATGTTCACCTTCGTGCCCTTGTACGTCACCGCGGTGTTCTTGGAGAGGATGGTGATCCCGCGCTCGCGCTCGAGGTCGTTGGAGTCCATGACGCGAGTCTCGATCTTTTCGTTGTCTCTGAACACCTTGGACTGCGCGAGCATCGAGTCCACGAGCGTGGTCTTCCCGTGGTCGACGTGCGCGATGATGGCGACGTTGCGGACGTCGTTGCGCGCCTTGAGGTTGGCGTCCGCCGCGGCGACCGCGGGGGGTTCGGCGATGGCCTCCGCGCGCGTGAGCGTTGTAGTGCGTCTCGCGGCGGTCGCGCGCCTCGCGGCCTTTTGGGGCGCCTTGGAGGCGACGTTGAAGCGCGCGGCGGCGGGCGCCGCGTGCGCGGCGAGAGCCTGCTGCATGTTGCCTGCGGTTTGAGCGTTCGAGCGCGACGACGCGGGGTGCGGGGAGGGGGGCAGAGCGAGCGCGTCAGGACGTTGGCGCGGGCGCGCGGGTGACGCGGCGACGGCGACGTTCGGCGCGCGACGGCGCGACGATGATGACGTTTCGGAGCTCGAATCGTGACGGTCGTCTCGAGGACGCGCGCGATTCCGCGCGCGGACGCGCGCGGGCGCGTCGCGCGCGCGCGCGGACGCGAGGGTGGGCGCGCGCGCGCACCTGGAAGGGTGTTTGAGCGTCCGCGGTGGCGAAGAGGCCCCGAGTGACCGTGCGTGCGTGCGCGCGGAAGTGGCCGCGGTCGACGTCACGCGCCGCCTGAAAGCCGGTCTTAGGATCAGGCGTGTTATCAGAGCCGTCTGACGAGAGCCGTCAGCCCCGGGATTCCGCGCGACCGACCATTCCGTTGAACGAGGGCCGTCCGAGACTGCGTTCGCATACGATTCTCACGCGCCCGAAAACGTACTACACGGAAAAACTACTCATCACAGCCTCTGCTGGCGGGCTCGCGCCTCGCGCCTCGCTCACACGACGTCGCGCGCCGCGCCGGCCGCGTCTTCCTCGCGCGTCTCCTCTCGTCGTCTCGTCCGTCATCGCGCGCGCGGGGGAGCGCGACGCGGACGCTCGCATGCTCGCGTCGTCCGTCCCGGCGTCGACCCGTCCGTCCGCGCGCGCGTCGTCGTCGTCGTCGTCGTCGTCGTCGCGTCGC